ATGAGAGATCTTCTTACTTCCCAAACAAACTCTCCTATATATATATATAAACGTTGGTTTATCAAGAATACACAAGAAATTCACTTTCAATTGTTGATTAATCGCCAGAGATGGCTTAGAACCAATAGTTCAATTATTATTACGCCTTAAGGGAGTGCCCGTGATCTTTACTCAGCTCGCCTAAGAAGACTTGCATGTGAAGCATATAGCTGGGACCTTGCACGGCTAAGGTACGCTCTAGTGTGGGGATGTAATGGCTGAACCTATCACCAAAGGCCCAATGAAGTGGGGGGAGGGGGGGGCGTCTGAGGAAACTACTAGAGCCATTTCTTTGATTAGCCAACATCCGTATGCCCGTTGGGCTGCTAGCCATACATTCTTTCTTTTTTGGGGGAATAACCTTGCCTTTTCCCACTTAATGTGAATATAATCCCGATGCAAATGCAATCTCTTGCTCCTGAGGGCATGGGCACAAGATATTTTTGTTATAACTGTGCTATACTAAAGCATTCTACTGCCCTTCTATTTTATTACATGATAGCTCGTGAAACGGCCCCTTTTTCGGTAAATGAGATTAAGATGAAATGTATTATCTAGCTTGCTCTTCCAAATCCAATTTCGGCCAGCGGTAATGTAATCGGGATTTCATCTCCTAAATTTGATTTTCTATGAAAGCAAGAGACGGAAAATCAAACGTGCTTGGTCCTCTCGTGGAATATATGATTTTTACTCAAATTTATGGCACTCAGGCTATATCTCAAAACACAGGAAAATCATCTTGCTGCAAGCCCAAATCACAAACTAAGCCTTTCAACCATATAGCTTCCTTTATTGTCTTTCTGGCTGCCATCGACTCTTCCTCAATCGTAGACTATGCAACTGTAGACTACAAAGTCACCTTCCCAATTGATCACACACCCATAAAGAGTGAGTACATATCCTGTCCAGGACCTCCTATAAAGATCTTCAGTATAACAACACTCCCATACGTGTCGCTGCCTTTTGTCATAGACTAAGCCAAAATGTGCAATGCCTTGCAATTGCCGCAATATCAACTTTCTAGATTGCCAATGGACCTTATTACGTCTATCAATGTATCTGCTTATTACATAACCGCATGTGAAATGTCTGGCGTAGTGCACACTATAGCATATATGATGCTACTAACTGCATTAGCATAATAGACATGAGACATGTGCTCCACCTCCTCCTTGATCTTTGGTGACAATCGTGTCGAAAGTCTAAAGTGGGTTGCCATTGGAGTACTCATGCTTTGGTGCTTGCATAGTAAAGCGTTCCAGCACCTTCTCATTGTATTTCTTCTGTTACAAATACAATCTGCCTGCTCCTCTATACTTGTGAATTTTCATACCTAAAATCTTCTTCACGTCACCAAGATCCTTTATCTCAAATTCACCACTAAGTTGAGCCTTCAACATGTTGATTTCTGACACGCTGGTGTAAGCTACCAACGTATCATCAATATACAGGAACAAATACAAATTTGAACTATCTGAGAACCTCATGTGATATACACAACTGTTGAATTCAGGCAATCACATCTTTGTTGAAGTGCAACTTGACGTCAAAGTGCTTGGTCCTCTCATGGAATATCTTATTTTTACTCAAATTTATGGCACTTAGGCTATCGCAAATCAGTCAAATCATCTTGTTGTAAGCCCAAATCACAAATGAAGCCTTTCAGCTATATAGCTTCCTTTCTTGTCCTCCTGGCTGCCATTGACTCTTCCTCGATCATAGACAATGCAATTGTAGATTACAAAGTCACCTTCCAACTGATCACACTCCCATAAAGAGTGAGTACATACCTGTCCAGGACCTCCTATCAAGATCTCCAGTATAACAATACTCCCATTCATGTCGTTGCCTGTGTCATAGACTAAGCCAACATGTGCAGTGCCTCGCGAGTACCGCAATATCAATTTCGTAGCTTGCCAATGGACCTACCCATGTCTATCAATGTATCTGCTTACTACATAACCGCATGTGAAATGTCTAGCGTAGTTCACATCATAACATATATGATTCCACTAACTGCACTAGCATAATAAACACGAGACATGTGCTCCACCTCCTCGATCATTGGTTACAATCATATCGAAATTCTAAAGTGGGCTGCCATTGGAGTACTCAGGCTTTGATGCTTGCATACTAAAGCGTTCCAGCACCTTCTCAATGTGTTTCCTCTGTGAAAAATGCAATCTTCCTGCTCCTCTATACCTTTAGTATAAATACAATATAGAAGGAAAATGAGAGAATTGTGTAAAGGCTTGAATTAGATATTTAATAATATGTAAAGGCTTGAATGATATTTAATAATATGTAAAGGCTTGAATGATATGAATTACTCATTCACAGCTCTAGTATTTATACATAAAAAGAGCACACGCTCATATCACAAGAATGGAAACTAAATCACAGCATATTCTAAAGCATATTCTATGGCATATTCTATAGCATAATCAAATCTCTACTAATATGGTAAGTCATTCCATAATTCGTGACTATCATATATGCTAACACTCCCCCTCAAGTTGGTGCGTGGATATCTGAAACGCCCAACTTGGACAATGCATTCTCAAACACAATTTTGCCGAATGCCCTTTGGAAGAATCTACAAGTTGCAGAGTGAAAATCTGACTAGCAATGATTTTCTCTCAGATGAAGGGCGGATCAACAAATCAAAAATGTCTTCTCAGACCATAAACAATTAACAATGTCTCCTCAGACCATAAACAACCAACAATGTCTCCTCAAACCATAAACAACCAATTATGTTTGCTCAGACCATAAACAACCAACAATGTCTCCTTAGACCATTTCCCTTCACATGTTTAAAACATGTAGGCGGAAGAATCAAACCATTCCCCTTCATACATATGTTTAAACAATGTAGATGGAAGAATCAATAATGTATCCTCAGACCATAAAAAAAAAAGAAACAACTATCTCTCCTCAGATCGTTTCTAAATGGGTGGTGCCAAATTCGCAACGCCCTCATTGAGGTCGGACGGCCCTGCCTACCCGACACCTCCCGGATGGCCATTAGACCATTCCCGAATGGGTGGTGCCGAACTCACAATGCCCTCATTGCAGTCAGACCACCCTGGCTCTGATACCAAGTAGAAATACAATATAGAAGGAAAATGAGAGAATTGTGTAAAGGCTTGAATGAGATATTTAATAATATGTAAAGGCTTGAATGATATTTAATAATATGTAAAGGCTTGAATAATATGAATTACTCATTCACAGCTATAGTATTTATAGATAAAAAGAGCACACGCTCATATTACAAGAATGGAAACTAAATCAAATCACAGCATATTCTAAAGCATATTCTATGGCATATTCTATAGCATAATCAAATCTCTACTAATATGGTAAGTCATTCCATGAATCATGGCTATCATATATACTAACATATGCATAATCAAATTTGTGCTATTATGGTAAGTCATTCCATAAATCGTGACTATCATATATGCTAACACCTTTCATACCTAAAATCTTCTTCGCGTCGCCAAGATCTTTTATCTCAAGTTCATCACTAAGCTAAGCCGTTGATTTTTGACGTGCTGCAACAAATATAAATTCGAACCATCTGAGAGCCTCTTATGATACACAACTGATGAACTCATTCCTATGTCAGCCACTCCCAACCATAAAGGTGTCAAATCGCTTGTATCACTGTCTAGGAGACTGCTTCAGCCCATACAAGAACTTCTTCGGTAGGCAAATATGGTCTTCCTTTATCAGAATCTCAAAACCCTCAGGCCAGTGCACATAATTATGCTCTTCCAACTCACTATGCAAGAACGCAGTCTTGACATTTTTTTTGATAAGTAAGCAAATTCATTCAAAAAAACGTTCAAAAGGGGAACGGGAGCCTAATGTCACGGACTTGAACCTTTTCAAGCTACCGTGCGGCCTTAGACACTTTCAAGCCCCCTTGAAGCGCTAAGTCAGCCTACCCGAGTGTGCTAGCTTAGTGAAGACTAAGGCTAGACAAGTGTTTTGCTTACTTGGGTGTGTAGGAAGAGGTTAGGCAAGTGAGCAAGAAAGTTTGGAAATGTATAGAACTTGTATTGCTTGAGAGGAGAGATTACAACTTGGTTGCTTGGTGAGGAGCAAATGAACTCCCACCTCCTATTTATAGGCCTTTGGCCTTACAAGAACATTCTAGATGTGTACAAATATGTGGCCTAGATTTAGTATCTAGAATCCTCCAGAAATATCTACACAACTCTAGAACTATCTATTATGTACAAGACAAGTCTAGAGAATTCTAGAGAATTCTATACAACTCTAGACAAGTCTAGAAAAGGCTAGACAACTCCACACTAATCTAGAGAATTCCGCAAAGTTCCATACATGTGTAGAGAAGTCTAGAAAGCTCCAGTCCATGCAGGCTCCATGTCATCGTCTGCTGGGCGTCTGCGTGGCGCCTGCGTGGCATAGCCTCTTGGTAGCGGGGTGTGACACTAAGGTCCTAAAGAAGAAATAAAATCAATCATCTCCTCCGGTGAGGAGCAAAACCTACCCGAACCCCAAAAACATAAAGATGAAATAAAAGCTGACTTAAGAATAGCAATTGAGGATTCCTTCGCTTCAAAGGATCTATTATTCCGCTCCCTCCACAAACACCACCATAAACACAAGGGCGCTATCCTCCAAAATCCACGAGCATGACCTCCCACATAGCACCCTCTCCAAGCCTCCATCAAACCTCTCGTAGATCGAGGCATAACCCATGAAACCCCAAACATTCTTAGCAAAAGACACCAACAATCCAAAGCCACTGGACAATGCAACAGAAGATGATCCACCGATTCCCCATTGCACTTGCACATACAACACCAGTTAACTGTGATATGTCTTTGCCGCCTCAAATTATCAAGCGTCAAAATCTTGCCCCACACCACTGTCCAAGTAAAGAACGCCACTTTGAGTGGCACCTTAGATCTCCGCACTGATTTTCACGGAAACATAATCCCTGTATTATCTGATAAGCATCGGAAATATGATCTCACTTCAAACATTCCCCGAGAAGCAGGCACCCAAACAAGCGAATTTCTATCCCTGCCGCGGATCTCATGCCGATACAACCGATCTAGCAACTCACAAATGTCGTCCAACTCCCAATCCTGAAGCACTCGCATAAACCGCACATCCCAAGTAACCCTCCCGCTATCAAGCTAATAACAGTCAGCAACCGAAACATGCCTATTAACAGCAATCCTAACCAATCTGGGAAATGCACAAGCAAGAGTACAATCACCACACCGAAGATCCCCCAAAAACCGCACATCCCTACCCTCCTGAACTCTGAATCTGATGTGTTTTGAAAACTCATTCCAACCTTTCCTAATGAATTTCCAAACTCCGACACCAACAGGAATCCTCACCAAACACGAGCACCATCCCCCCGTTTCTTCCCCAAACCGGCACAAAATAACCCTCCTCCACAACCTATGACGTTCCATTTCGAATCTCCACAACCACTTGCCAAGAAGAGTCCTGTTAAATGGCACCAACCTCCTTATCCCTAAGCCTTCGGCCTGAATCGGCCTACAAACCTGCTCCCACCGAACAAGATGATATTTAAATTCTCCTTGAAGTCCACCCCATAGAAAATTCCTTTGAAGCCTCTCAATCGAACTAGCAACCCCAGTTGGTATCTGGAAGAGGGATAAAAAATAAGTAGGAAGACTTGATAGTGTGCTTTTCAAAAGAGTGACCTTTCCCCCTTTCGATAAATACTGCTTCTTCCACCCTGCAAGTCTCCTCTGAACCCTCTCAATCACCAGATCCCAAACACCCACATTTCTCTAAGAAACTCCCAAAGGTAACCCCAAATATCTATCGAAAAACTACTGATTCCACATCCAAGCCCAGAAGCTAACTCACCAATATTCTGCACCTCCCCTACTGGAATCAAGGCACTCTTCCCTACATTCACTTTCAATCCTTACACCGCCTGAAAACAAATTAGCACCGATCTCAGATACCTTATCTGGGAGACCTCAGCCTCACAAAACACCGACGTGTCATCCACAAACAATAAGTGAGAAATCTCCATATGATGAACATCACCCCCACCCACCATGAACCCCTTAATAAAACCCAACTCCACCGCCCTCCTCATCAACCTACTAAGAGCCTCCATAACAATAATGAACAAGAAAGGAGACAAAGGATCCCCCTGACGCAAGCCTCGCGAGCTACCAAAGAACCCGGTCGGAGACCCATTAACCATCACCGAAAATCTGACTAAAGATATGTAGGCCTCAATCCAACACCTCCATTTATCCCCAAAACCCATTTTGTCCATCAAATACAAGAAGAACTTCCGACTCACATGATCATAAGCTTTCTCAACATCGAGCTTGCACAGAACCCCTGGGACACCACTCCTCAACCTCGTGTCCACACATTCACTAGCAATAAGAGCTGAATCAAGAATTTAACGCCCACTTATAAAAGAGTTCTGAGATTCCGAAATGATATCATTCAGAACAACCCTCAACCTTAATGCTAGAACTTTAGCTATTAATTTATAAATGTAGCCCAACAAACTAATAGGTCTAGAGTCCTTTACATCCGAAGCTCCCCCCTTCTTAGGAATAAGTGCAATAAACGATGCATTCAAAGAGTTCTCAAACCTCCCCTGAATATGGAAGGCATGAAACGTAGCCATCGCCAAGCTGTTCAACTGCTCAACTCCCTGATTGAGTTATGCTTCATCACCTGGGAGACAAAACTTCATTGAAGTCCACCCTTTCCCTCTGTGTATAGCCCTTCGCCATCAAGCGTGCCTTGAACCTCACATATTATACTCTTGGGGTTCCTTCCTTCTTTTTGAAGACCCATTTACAACAGTCCATAATCTTCTGGCCCTTAGGCTTCTCAATTAGCTCTAAAGTCTAGTTCTTATGAAGAGACTCAACCTCCTCACTCATGGCAATAGAATAATGTGTCGATTCTCCACCCGTGATGGCCTCATGATACCTTCTCATCAGGACTCTCTGCCACATTAAGTGCATAAGCAACCGAATTAGTATTTGGAAACCCGTACTGCTGAGGCGGCCTAGCCTCCCTCCTCGGCTTGTCTGTAGGCACACTGTACTGCTGCAACTATACATCTTCCTTCTCAGCTTGAAATTGCACTGACTCATCATTTGACCAATCAGAAACATCCTTTACATGATCTACTTGCTCAATGACACCCTGAGCTCTCCCTGAATCAACTACCTTAATTTGTGGAGTACGGATTGCATACTCATGAAAGGTCATATTCCTGCTAACAATTAAATTTTTTTTTTTTTTCCCCCTGATGTATCTGGGCACAATATGTATCCTTGACCTTAGGCACAGAACCAAGAAATATGCAATTCTTAGCCCTCGGTTCAAGCTTCCCATAATTGACATTAGCATACGCAGAACACTCGCATATTCTCAACTAGCAGGAGACCCAGACCATACCTCCTTCATAGCAGTGTTGTCAAAGGTGGGCACTTAGGCTCAGCTAGGCTCCAGGCTCGTACTGACCACACTTGCACCTATTGTGTGCCCGGACACGCTTTTGACAACATTTGAGCCTTTAGTATGGAATGCGAATGCTTTCATAGTAATTTAAGTTTTCAGGCGCGTGCCTTGTTCTTGCGCCTTGCGTCTAGGCTCCAAAGAACTCTAGCACCTTAGTGCACCTTGAGCCTTTGATAACACTGCTCAGGAGTCTTACAATCGATGGAGACCGGTTTTCCAAGTAACAACTTGTGCTAATAGATTTAGCCTAAAACACTTTTCCTAACTTAGCATTGGACAACATACACAGTGTTATGTTCATCCGTTATAAAACTCTATTCGCCTTGGCTATTGAGGCTCAGGGCTTGCACCTTAAGGGGCCTGACGCCTTTGACAACTATGGCTGTCAGTACATAGCAGTACACTTGTCCTGACCACAACACTGAAAGTTGTTAATATTGATGCTTCCAGGCAGTGCTGCATTTCTACTCCACGGCATATGAACTAAATGCCTCAAAATTGAACAAGGTGTCATGTAAATGTCCCATATATACCTCATGTTTCAAATGGTCCCCATGATTGTCCTTGTGATGAATTATCAAATTTAATATCTTCTTTATTATAGAATAATATATTACTATTTTATTGTTTGTCATACTTATTTCTCGTATCCGTATTTGTATTAGTGCTTTTTAGCCCCCTACTTATTTGTGTATACAGCAACCTAGCAAATTAACGTTTACTTTAGTTTAATCAAGTGGCATAGATCGACTCTCTACAACAATCCTACGAAGCATCTAAGATTTTTACACACTTTTAGTTGCCATTGATATCCTAATCTATTGAACTCTATAATTATCAAACACATTTTAGAAGACACCATCCTTCCTTGCTCATTTACACACTATTACAGAGCACTTTAGAAACTAATACACTATAGCATGTCATGTAGATGCCATGTTACCTTACCAAAAGTGCATCCATGGCACTTGTGTGGCCTAACCTTCATTTAACTTGGACAGTTTGTGACAATTAGCCGATGTTCAAAGATTTCTAATGAAGTATTATGCACAACTGGAAGAAACCACACCATAATCTCTAAGAGATACTCACTCTTGGGGAACTCTAAATCTTACAACATACTCTTTCATTGTATGTAGATGTCTCTCTCATACCCCTTGTATATCACTCATGAAGATCCTTAGCTCTGTATGGTATTTTGGGATCCTAATCCCGCTAAAACAATGATATTAAAGATCTTTTCAGACTTGGAAAGTCTGAATCATTTAAGGTTCACTCTGAGGTGTTGAGATCGATCTTGGGCATTATTCTGCACTCTAGGGCAATGGGATCAATCCTTCCAGCTTAAGGATTGATCCTCAACTCTTCAAAAAGAAAAACACCTCGAGTGATGGACATACATAACCAGACTGACTAACTGGCTTGACCAATCACAATACATTCTTGTTCATGTCATTTTACAATATATAAAGATTGCCTATCCTAACAGAAGTTAGATGGAAAATTGAGCCTAATGAAAGATATAATTCAAAGAGCCAATTCATGTCATCTAATAATTTTTTGCTTCATTTAATAATTATTAGGATTTCATTCTCTTTTTAAGTTCATGTGCATATTCTCCTCTGGTTTTTTTTTTTCCAGGCATTGGCAATGATGTTCAAGAAGTTGCTGCCAGCTTGAGTGCTTTCATTGATTGGGATGCACTGTTCAAGGTTTTTCATAGTTCCGAAGAGCACGACAGAGGCACTATTATTGGTTGCAAAGTGATCGAGAGTGGGCTCCAAGATGTAAGTTCTTCATCTCAAATCGCATGGGGTGGTTGTTGCATTATACGGCACTGGTTTAAGCTTCTCTCTTTTCCCATCTTTTCAATATTTGAAGCATACTTTTTCAAATTTTATGATATTCTATTTAAAACCAGCAAAGTTAAATACTATTTTCATTAAAAATTATTATCCAGAAGATTTGGAATATATATTTTTTTCCATAATCAGTTATTTTATGCTAATTTTTAAGATAAATGTTTTAGCTGATAGACTGATACTTCATGTCGAATGAGTTTTTCTTGAAACTAAAAAACCGCCCCAGCCCCATAACATATCCATAAAATTAATAAAACCTCCATTTAATTAAACCTTCATCCACAAAAAAACCGCCCCAGCCCAACCCACACAGACATCCACGGTCACGTCACGGTCTGGACCACCAAGTTTCACTTTGAGAGCATGTTGAAAAACAGTGTCTGCAACGAGGGCTTCAGCAACAACTCCTCAGCAACCTATCATAACAAGATCATTTAAATAGTTCTTAGCAAAAAAACAGTGAAGACTGTGGATGTCTACCAGAAAATGATTCCCAAAAAGGACACACAAGCCGTGGAATTGAAATCAGTGAAAGCTGTTGCCAAAGATTGTTGGAGGAAGTCCAGCTCTCCCAGTCTTTTGCCAAGCTCAAAGCTCAAAGTTAGCCATTTGGATTTGGCCGTTCCTACCGCTCTTGACCCGGAGAGCCCCTCCGGCGGTCCTGTCGAGTACGATAGCTGAAATGGAGGTTTGTGTATCCTTTTTGGGAGTCATTTCTGGTAGACATCCACGGTCTGGACCGCCAAGTTTCCCTTTGAGAGCATGCTGAAAAACAGTGTCTGCAACGACGACTTCAGCAACACCTCCTCAGCATCCTCAGCAGCCTATCATGACAAAATCATTTAAATGTTAAAATCCAATAAAAAACCCAAAAAAAATAAGTGTTACAAAATAAATTTCTTACCAAAAAACCTTGTAACCAGAGCATTTTCTTAGGATCAATAAACTTTGAGTTCTGGAACTTGATGTCCTCAATAGGAATGCTCTTAATCAGCCGCACAAGCATTAGCTTGACGAGATTTGACTGACTCACACTGAGTAGGCTTGCCACCTAATTAAATATTAAAAGATTCAGAACAGTAAAAAATATGAAAAACAAAAACAAACATGATAAGTGTATAAAAAATAAAAATATATATATAAAAAAAAAAAAGCAATCAAAACAAAATAAGCAAATCAAATGATAAATCTGATTATTAAATTTTTTGAGTAGCGAGAGAGAGAGAGAGAGAGAGAGGGAGGGAGAGAGAGGCGAGAGATATAGATATAGGGTTTTCGGGTTTAGATAAACATGTTAGATTTAATATATAGAAAAACAAAATAGCTTTCTAGTGAATCTGAACCGTACATTTAGTAGAAGAAACTTTTGGAATAAAAGATATTAAAATGCATACACAGAAGCTCCTAGATCCAAACAGTTAAATCCGGCCGTTAGTTTTTCAATATAAAACGTCCACACCTTTGAATGCTCAGAGAGCCATTGGATATAAACCTAAAACATCTCAACTATTGATGACCAAAATTTATCCTTTTTATTTGACTAGAATGAGACATTGGCGACGACGTGGCACAACAACAAAATTCCATCTATATATCTGCAAAGGAGAAAAGAAAAATAAACGAAAAAAACAAAAGCCATCACTTAACTGGGACTTGACCAGAAATCATTCACACTAAAACTACTCTTTAAGTTTTATTTCTTTTAAAACAAAATTAAGTTAAAAAATGAAGCAACGTTCAGAAGATACATATTAATTAAAAATAAAAACAAATTAAAAAAAAATATCATATAATAATTACAAACTGCATATAAATACACTTTCCATGAGACAGAGCTAATGAATAAGAGAGAGAGAGCTGATGAAGAAGTAGAAGAAGAAGAATACTAATCCATTCATTTCTCTTGGACATAATATATATATCCAGAGAGAGAAAGAGAAGTAAATTAATGTGGTTGTGGGTAACACGCAAGCCTTTTGAATTTCTGCATTGGAAAGGGGAAAATGGAGGAGCTAGGAGGACGGCTAACAGAGAAAGAGCAAGGTTCGGAAATGTGTCATATTGCATGTCTCTTCGTATACGTATATGCTGGCCTAGGGAACTCCACATATATATATTAGAGGATTCAACTCATTTCAATAACATTTCTTCTCTGACCGATTTGACAATTCACTAGTAAATAGTAATCCATTGTTTGGTTGATAACAAGTATATAGTCCTGATCTAATTGAATGCACTGTGTAGGTTAAGTATGTGTGTTTGAAATAATTGTTTCAAATTTGAAAAAAAAATTATTAGAAATTTAAAATAATACTCAAGATATATGATAGAAATATTTTCGTGTTATTTATTTCTAAAATATTTCTTAAAGACTCGTACAAGTAGTAATTTTTTTTTTCAATTTTAAATTGTAATGAATACTACCAAGTTCAGTGTACATTTTGAAATTATTAGACACATTAATATTATGCTATATTTTATTCCTAATTTCTCCAAATTTTTTAATTTGTAATTGAATAATTTATTTTTTGCCTTCATTATGTTAAAATTTATTTGACTTTTTTGGAAAACTTCCGCCTTGTTTCGAACAATTTCCAAAAATAATTTTTAGATAATGAGAATAGAAAACTGAAAACAGTTTTTTGAGTTTCAACATCTACTTGATAGGAAATATTTTCAAAACAGTTTTTAAAGAACAAATAATCAAAAAACTATTTGGTTGCGTAAAAATAGTTTTTTGAACTTAAGAAAAAATATATATAATAAAATATTTATTTTGCCTTGTATGCTATATATATATATATATATATATTTTAAATCTTATGTGACTATGCCATTACTATTAGCAAAAAATATATATATATCTCATCAAGAAAAGATTTATTCAACAAACAAAGCTAAATAAAGAAAATTAAAATAAAAACTAAATACAATCAAATTATACTAATAATCGTAATCTTGGAATATGATGAATGTTTATACTTAAAATAATGCTTAGTTATTAACAATCATCTGATTTTTATTCTTATCAAAAATTTAATAATTAAATATGCAATTAGGGTTAAATTTAGCGGAAAAAGATCAAATCAACCACTAAATTAAATGCTTGTAACAATCATCCAAATTCAATTTGGGGCAAGTCTCCCTTGTAACAATCATTCACTAAATTATAAATGATAGATTCCAAATATTGTCAATTTTGTTATAATTATATTAATAATGCCTTTCTTTATGCAAAATTCTTTCTAAAAAAAAAAAATTAAACAAATTGTATTATTAATAAAAAACGATTACAAGAAAGGTATTTGGCTCAAATAAAGACTTGCTATTAATAGCAATGTGATCAAAATAGTGTATACCTTTAATTAATTTTATATTCATATTATAAGCAAATAAGTAAAATTAGTAAAAAAATTAATGGTGTTGGTTCACAAATTGTGTTCTTAACCAAAGATTAGTTGCCTAATTACACTAATGAAATTGATTAAACATAAAGAGGATTTTCTCTCTTTTTTACTTTCTAAACTGTAAACACATGATATTTGGACTATAACCGTAGCATTTGATGACTGATCTTGGGTGGGGCCCTACTAAAGGGACAACCATGACGTTCAAATTATATCAGATTTGTGAGTCCGAAACACGAGAAAGCACTGGATTATAGCTTTCAATGCACGGTTCGTGTTCCAAAATGTGTCTTTTAGAATTTGGATAAGTGGTAGTCAGGGAGTGATTGATTGTTATAATATGTAATTAAATTTAGGGGTAATTTCATAAAACCCGCACTGCTATCAGATTTTGTATCACATACCCCCAACCTATTTTAGAAAACTTCCAATATTATGAAAATTGATCACATTGCACCACGTTTGTGATAAAAGGATGAAACTACCCTTCTGATATACCAAATCAATTAAAAAAGTCAAAATAGGTATTTTACCAATTACTAAAATACCCATGGTGACATTTACTAAAACAACTGTGTTTTGTGTGTTGATGCGAACAGAGCAATATATATAAAGATGATAGTTTTAGAGAGAGAAAGTGAAGGTTGTGTGATAGACTTCGTCGGCCAGGGAGGTGAAGGAGAGGAGCCAAGATCGATGGAGAATTTGTGGAGGCGGCAGCGTATGTGGGCTTTGGTGGTGTTGACGATGCACAGAGAGCAGCGATAGAGAGTGGTGGTGAGAGCGACATCAGAGGGCTGCGCCAGCGGTGAGGACGTCGTGATGTATGTGGTGTGATGATGAAGTTGAGAACACCGACAGAGAGGCGGCAAAGAGTGACGTCAAAGGATTTTCGGCGGCGGCAATCAGGGATGAAGGGACTGCTCACGGCAGAGAGCACAAAATAGCGGTGAGCTCGACTGTTGGTGGCAGCTGGTTCGGCCGTGGATGACTCGGCCTTAAATGGCTCCGGCTGACTGTGATCTGACTAGCGGTGGCGATGGCAGGGAACTGGGCACGGTGATGGTTGTCGTGACTGGGTTGGATGAAGGTTAATTTTGAAGATGGGTTTCAATTCCGAAGCTTAGAATACCACTCCAAAGGGTTTAACATTGCTGATTTTGTTGATTTTTATTTTTGTTCGAAACTGTTGGGTCAGACACCATCGGTGATGAATCAGGATTTGAATCCGAATCAAACGGTTCTGGTTTCACTTTATACGAATTCCCGCTCGAATTGGACGGAATTGAGCTTGTCTCCAGTGAGTTCACCGTGGCAGCAAAGACGGAGAACTTAGAAGCACGATCAAGTAGAGCTGTAATGACCCAATCATTTTTCTTCTTTTTCTTTTTTCTCAGATTTTAACGGATATTTTTTTTCCGTTGTCTTTTCCTTTTTGGGTTCGGTTTTTCATCACTTGATGTCGTCTCGAGTACTCTGAAATGATTTCTGAGACTTTTTTCCTTGAATTGACAACTTTCTTTGGGGATTGTGTCATTTCCATATTTTATTTTTCCAAACACTATTCACATTTTGTCTTTTTCTCGTTTATCCTTTTTCCTTACACAACCTCACTTTTTGTGATCGGATTTGATTCCGGTTTTGTATGCATTCATGATATTTGATTTCCATGATAGTGGTATTTTTATTTTTCTAGAAAAACATGTTGATTACTTACTTCTTTCATAAAGGGGCATTAATGCATACTTTAGTATAATTATTCTTAACTTGTGGGGTTTTAGTGTAATTAAATAAAGTAATTATTTTTCATCTTGGGGACCATTTTACAATTAAATTTGAAAGATATTTTCAAAAAGGACCTTTTTGCAATTTTTGAAAAGTGTGACAAGTGTCACACTCTTATTGATCCACTTGTTGACATTTGTGTGGAAATACTTTAATGCATTGGATGATGACATTTGGAGGGTGAGGATTCACCCACTTGTTGGCTTAGGATTGGTGCACTTGTTGGCTTGGATGGTTGACAAGTTTAGGTGTGGGATTAAGCCTAGGAAGGAGCCATGGATTGGTGACAAGTGTAGGTTCACAATTTAGTCTTGAAAATATCTTTGGGCCACTTTGGGATTATGGTTTTAAAGGATGGTTTTTGTGCAATTGACCATGGATGTGTGTATTGACCATGGTGTAAGAGTACATAGTGAGTGGAGGATTTCTATTTCCTCCACTCACACTTAACCACATTATTTCATTCTCTTCCTTACAAGAAAACCCTAGCCTCCATGGATGGAGCTTGAAGCCTTAGGCATTGACCTTGATCTTTGTGACCCTTCCACTTACTTTAGACCATAAAGCTTGGAATACTTTTTATTCCCCTCATCCTCCTCTTCAAAACCCTTGAAGGATCTAGCCTAACTCCTAGTTTTGCTTTGATATCTAGAGATTCAATTCTCTAGTAAGGTATTAATCTATTATTTTGAAGTATTTTTAGGTCATTATTGAGTGTTTTACATGCATGGAAAAGAATGACTTGTATTTTGCCCTTAAACTGTTTTAACTTGAAATTAATCTTGTCAAATTAAATATAGAATATGAAAATATACTCAATTATCTTTCATTTAGTTTTGGTTTCATGTAATTTGGATTTAAAATGAATTAGTTATGAATTTTTGAAGTTGCAAGCTAGTTGCTGGAAATTTGAAGCTTTTCCTTTTCGGTCAAGGAAATGAATTTTTATATGGAGTTGTGGTGCTTCAATTGCCTTGAAATTTTTACTGGAACTTCCGCCATGGGTTTTAAACTACTCAGAATTTTTTCACGATTTTAGAGCATTGCTAATTTTTTTTTAAAATCCGAAATTATTTGCTGTCCATGTTTTTATTACAGCTGGAAAACATATTTTTAGATGATTTATTTCACTAACCTTTTGACATTGGATCATGGCTTAAATTTCTAGTTTTACACTCTTATATGTTTACTTCCAAAATAAATTAGGTTTGCCCAATTTGGATGTCAAATGATTTTTTCATGAATTTTCAAAGTTGGAAGCTACAGGCTGAAAATGTGTTTTCTGGACAAAATTTGTTTCAAAATTGTGGGTCAAAACCATTTCAATTGAGAAAATATTTTGTTAAACTAAATTGATATTATCAAATTACAGTGTTTAAGCTTTCATTGGGCTTTAGATTCATTCAATTTGGGTTAGAATTGAATTTTTTATGAATTTTATAAGTTAAAGGTAGCAAGTTGAAAAATCAGTTTTGCGGACTGAAAATTTGGGGCGATTTCATTTCAGTGGTAATTGGGATTTTCATTCCAATTGAGGTAGGGAATGTTTTAGGATTATTTGTGTATTGTATTGTGTGTTTGCCATGATTATACAACATATATATATGCCTTGTATCAAATCTAGAAAGTTAGTAATTTTTATTTCTTTTTATAAGATTTAAAATTTATGATGATGTATAACTTTGATTTGAATTGTAACATGTTAGGAAATTATGCTTAGATATGTTGGTTAACATATATTAAATTTGGATTATTTAATTAAGAATTACAACTTTTATTTAATATTTATCTTTAGTGAAAGTTTAATTCATATAGTTGTATCAAGCATTAAATCAAGTTATAATGCGGTATTTATATAGGCCTTGGCATGTTCTCTAACATAGATTAAATTGAGGGCATTTGGAATTGTTTAAAAACTCTAGAGGAAATTAATTAATTAACTTGATTAATTTTGTTTTAAGTGTTTTAATCACTTAACTTGTTATTTGATGTTATATATATGATGACCATGACATGTCTTTCAATATATATTAAATTGAGGTTATTTGGATTAACTTGGAATTTAGAAAATTTAACAATTTATGTTTAATTAAATTCTACTTTATTACTCCATGAATTTAATTGCATTTTGGAAATTGTTTCTATATTTAAATCATGGATTTGGATTTGATGTATGTTCACTTAATTACTTTTGAACATTAGATAACATAGTTGTTACTTTTATATTCATGAGAATATGTTTTTCCTTATTGAATATATTGTTGTTATGTGTAAGGAATTGCACACTTTGTATTTGACATCTTACATGCCATAGTAGTTATGAATTTTGAGCATGTATTGTATAAGTTTCCAAAATTTGGATTGTACTTAGTAAATAGCTGATATCTTGTATATACATGTTGATATATATACGTTGTTGCATAATTTGTTGATTTTGGAAACTTGGGGATGTCGTTGTTTGGTTATGGCTAGGACTTGGTTCTAGTACGGGGGATTGTCCCTCTATATAGTCTAGTGCGCACATAGGGAGGTTACCCATGGGCTAGTAACCCTAAAGTAGCTATGTTGTCGGTCTGATCCGGCGTGACGTCTGAGTATCCACTTTGTTTGATTTCGTATTTCATTTCAAGTTGATAACTAGATGATATCGTAACTTGTTGTTCCTTATTTGATTTCCTATTTTGAGCTTAAGATGTAACTTTGTGAAAGCATGCTTCACGCATTGTATTGGAAGTTCCATTGTTGGTTAAATTACATCGATATCATAATTTGTGTTTTGATGTTCAAATATAGTTTAGAAATGACCTTATAGATTCATTTTGAACATAGACGTTAGGTGGCATGACCCACACTTGTTATTTTCGTATTTTGGATTTCAAGTTGAAGACTTTGAGAATTTATATCTTGTTGCCTTGTATAACATGTTTCCATGTTGTTTGAATTGCATGAATAATGTAATTATGATAGAAATGATCTAGGTAGCTTAGGATGCTCCCTGGGTCTCATCTTGACATAGACGTTAGGTGGCATGAGCCCCTTTAACATGTTTCACCATAAGGTGATAAAATTGTAAAATGCTAGGTCGATGCATGCTTATCTCCTACGAATAGCTTTATGTTACTCACCCCTATGATACTGGGGCATATTTCAGGTACAGGATTCAGGATTTGAAGATTTCATTGCTCTTTGGATGGCTTACAGTTTCTAAGTTTCTATTTTTTGCATGTGTTAGCATAAAATGCCTCTTTGTAGCCCTATTTGTTTAAACTTGTATTCGTTGATTCGTATATGTAAAGTGTAAGTAAGTGCACTCTTTTCAATGTATTTAACATGTATGAGATGAGGCCGGAGGCCAATGATATGTATCTCATTTTCTATGCACTTTTGTTTTCAAAGTTTATTATGAAAATATTGGAAAATGTTAAGTCATTGCTTTATAACTTTCGCATCGGGTGTTGGAATTTCATATCTTTTCTGCCCGGACTCAGAATCAGACGATTCTTGAGTCTAATTTTGTTTATTTTTCGTTATCTTTCCAATGGTGTGCACGGTGGCACCCTTTTCAATGAGAAATGACCATTTTGCCCTTAGTCCATCTCTTTTCGGGTTAGGCATTCTTGCTTCATTTGCTTAGCTCATTTGAGTTCCGTGGCTTCATGGAGAGTTACTTTGGGGCCTTAGGGATGATGTACATCTCTTGAGGTCATTTGGCTTCTTTCGCTTCCGCATTTCGGGTCCATTATCGGGTCAACTTCCGGTTCATCACTAACGCACCGGGTTGAGAAATCCGAGTCGTTACAGGTGGTATCAGAGTTCCTAGGTTTGAATACCTTGGACAACGGGTTTTGCGTGCATATCATGCTTATGTTGCTATGCTCTATGTGTTTATATGCATCATGATAATATGCTTTGGTGTGATAACATGTTTATGTGCTTACGTGCTACATGTGGTATGCCGTTTGTTTAGCATAATTTAATTATTATGTAAAGAGCATGACATATGATGTATTCTAGATCAGATTTGTATATGCATAACTGTGTTGCATATTTGGCATGACACGAGATTGGTCATTGAGGCTCGAGTTGAGGTTGATGATGATTGTAGTCACGGTTGTATTGTAGTTAAGGTTGTTGTTGACCTAGAGTTGGTTTTGAGGTAGGTAGAGAGACATCTTTTGTTTAGGCGCTCGTAGGGTGAGCCATTAGGCACAACCGTAGTACTGGATTTGTTGATTTTAGGCCATGGTTAGGTTTTGGACCTTTTGGGATCCTTAGTTGTTTTGGAAGGTTTGTCTGAGATTGCAATTTTCGTAGGCGGGTACGTTGTGGGCGGGTGCATGGCACTGTCATGCTATCGTACTGACAAGCTACGAGTGCAGTTCGGATGGAATCAACGTTGGGTTTTGTTCCAACAGGTGTAGTCCTTTTGATCGATAATGATGATGGTTGTTTTGGGGATCAGTCGTAGCGATCGATTTGGTTGTCTGATTGTATGGCTAGAGTTGCCATTTACTTTGAGTTCTCCTTGCATGATGACGCTTTTGTGGTCGAGTCGATTGATCAATGTTTTGGGTTAGTGAGAGCATTGCATTGTTAGTGT